CCCCCCCACATTCAGGATGCTTCCTACGCCCATGAGTGGATGACCGAACCTGGTGTGGGGTGCCAACTAGAATGGCTTCGGTTTTGGAGCCGTTACATTTCAGGAAGTTTTGCTTCATCCACGCCTGTATCTCCTCCAGGCAGGCAGTAAGTGTGAGTGAAGGCAGGGCTGCAGAGGAGGTAGGGTTGATCCTGAGGTAAAGTTGGGTGTCATCAGCGTAACAATGGAATAATACTCCATGTCGGCTGATGATAGAGCCAAGTGTAAAAAGGGTGGGGCCGAGAACTGATCCTTGAGGGACACCACAGGTGACATCATGGGTACCCGACTCTGCCTCACCCAAGGAGACGTACTCTGTTCTCCCGGTGAGGTATGATCTGAACCAGTCAAGGGGAGAGTCAGAGAGTCCGATGGTGGAGTGAAGACGGTGGAGGAGGATGCAGTGATCGACGGTGTCGAAAGCTGCAGTGAGATTGAGGAGGATGAGGAGAGAGGGAGAGCCAGTGTCAGCCGTCATCAGCAGGACGTTGGTGACCCTGACCAGAGCAGTTTCTGGGCTGTGGCCTGAGCGGAACCCAGACTGGAACTTCTCGAATAAGTTATTGGAGTTTAGATGGTCCTGAAGTAATAACATGATGCATTACATTAATGCACATCATGTGAACAACATCTTGTTTGTTTTTTTGACTTAATACTGTGAGCCATGTTCATGCTCTCTGACTACATTTTGCACATTTTTGCAGACATGTCGGTACAGCCCTCCACTTTAAACTATAATTCACTTTAGTTTGCCATATAAGTGTTTTAGTTGTTTAGCTTTTAAACCTTTATAGGGCACTATTGGGTTAACCCTAATGCTAACCCTAACCCGTTTTAGGCCTCTGCTGATTGGTCAAATTCCCCAATGGCACGCTCTGTGGCGGAGAGTGATCTTTGATGATTGGCTGTGAGAAAACCACATGCTTCTCAACCTCACTGAGTCGCGGTGGGGTAACCCTAACCCAAATATGTTTCCTCGTCCGATAAAGGATTAAGGTCATTTGTATATTTAAATTTAAATTTGGTGTAATTACTTGTCTTTATTAAAAAAAAATTATGCTAAATAGTTTCTTAACAATACTTATTTGTATTATCTTTATTTTATTTGTTTACCTACTATTGCAACTTATTTTCTTAGATTCTTTATGTTCGCACCACCAGACACCAAAGCAAATTCATGTATGTGTAAACGTACCTGGCAATAAAATATACTTGCACTTTAATTCAAACACCTGGATACTAAATGACAACACTCACATAATTACAACCACATTCCCACACTGATGGCAGGGCTCCTGATTCAATGCCTTTGTTTGTCAAGTATTTATTTAACAGGTTTCATTTGATGTTTAATCAAAGACCTATGCACTAATTTGCAGAGGTGGGAGTAAGTCCTACATGTGCAAGTCATGAGCAAGTCTCAAGTCTTGACCTACAAGTATCAAGCAAGTCCCAAGTTACTGTGGTGAGAGTCAAGCAAGTCAAGTCAAGTCATTGCTCAGGTCAAGTCAAGTCAAGTCATACGAAATTCTGATGAATAAGCCCAGTTTCCGCATTTAAATCAGTTAAAAGACAGTGGTTATGAAAATGGATTTAACCCACACTATGATCTTCATTACATACACAGTTAATCATTTGAAATCTAATTTAGACCGATGACAATCATATCAGATTCATATTAACCCTAGAACTGCAGACAATATAGCGAGGACTCAATCAAAAAAGTCTGTTAAAAAAGGCATGATTCCAGGTAAGAAAATCATATATGGCATTTGCCATTACACATATTTAATTTAAATGTCTGTTAACACTAGAACCGCCAACAGCGTCAGCACCTACATAGATATCATTTTCAAATCATTTAATTTGTTCCTCTTCATAATTTCCTTATAAACTAAGTAGGACGATTTAAAACTCAGTTAATTGGGTTAATTTTGAAATGGCTTCAGTTTATCATCATAACAGATCAAAAAGTTCAGATTCATTTTACAATAAATCAAGGAATGATGCACTTCTACAAACAAAAACAACATAATTAAAACATTTAAACAAACTACTAAAAGTAGATGAACTACATTAGTCAACAGTTTACAGTAACTTCTGATAACACAGGGGAAATAAACGAGGCATCTCTTTTCCTCTCTCTCTCTCTCCTGACAGCCCGTCAGTATCAGGGTTAGTCCAAATGAATCCCTTGGAGGTATAGTGTTCATTTACCGTTTTGTCTTCTCTTTGCAATGCTTAATCGATTTGAAACCAAGTCTAACGTAGCTTAAACTTAACGTTAGCTTTCTAGCTAACACAACACATTCACGCACCTTTCTCTGTGGGTTTTGTTGTAGTGACGAATGAAGTTGGATGTTTTGGTGGTCGTGTCTCTGATCTTTATGCTGCAGACCCTGCATACCGCTGTTCTCTTCTTATTAGCGTCATCGACAACATAATCCTTGAATCCAAACTTGACTATTTGTGGAGTAACGCTAGCCGCTGCCATGTTAACTGACACTCCTGCCGGCGTCTAGTGGGTTGCCAGGTTTGCGCGCATGGCGCTATAATCACACAATCACGTTTTTCGAAAAAACTAAACGTAATATCTCACTACAAAAACAAACGCAAATATTTAATTTTAAACAGTCAAGTCCTTTCAAGTCATCTGTCTCAAGCTTAAGTCAAGTCTCAAGTCATGAATACCAAGTCAAAGTCAAGTCAAGTCTTTTATCAATGTTAGTCAAGCAAGTCTCAAGTCAAAAAATATGCGACTCGAGTCTGACTCGAGTCAAGTCATGTGACTCGAGTCCCCACCTCTGGTAATTTGTATTTTGTTTTGGATGTCTTGTTTATATTAAGTAATTTTGCTGTTAAAACAACAGCACCAGTTTTTCTCTAAAATACTCAGTATCTCCCAACCCCTGAGGTTGTTGTGTCAACCTGTTGAGTCACACAAGAAACATCTCATGATGGGGAAAAGCAAAGAGCTCTCTCAAGACCTTCGCAACCTAAACACACTCATGGCATTGGTTACAGAAGGATTTCTAAACGTCTGAATGTTCCAGTGAGCACTGTTGGGGCCATAATCCAGAAGTGGAAAGAACAACATTTCACCAGCTCCTCGCAAGTGTTCTGACAGAGGAATGAAAATAATTATCAGAGGAGTTGTCCAAGAGCCAAGGGTCTTCAGAAAGACCTGGAGTTAGCAGGTACAATTGTTTCAAAGAAAACAATAAGTAATGCACTCAACCACGCAAGACTCCATTGATGAAGAGAAAGAATGTTGAAGCTTGTTTAAGGTTTGCTGCACAACATTTAGACAAGCCTGTGAAATACTGGGAGAATACAGTCTGGTCAGATGAGTCCAAAACTGCACTCTTTGGATGCCATAAAACACAGCATGTTGGGAGGTCAAATGGCACTGCACATCACCCCTTTTTCAGCATACGGCACTGACAATCTCCATATCATTGAAGGACGGATGAATGGAAAAATGTACAGAGACATTCTTGATAAAAATCTACCAGGATGATGAAGATGAAACGAGGGTGGACATTTCAGCAAGACAATGAACCCAAACACACAGCCAAGGAAACTCTCAATTGGTTTCAGAGAAAGAAAATAAAGCTGCTAAGCCAATCACCTGATTTGAATCCAATAGAAACTCCATGGAAATAACTAAAGATCAGAGTTCATAGAAGAGGCCCACGGAACCTTCAAAATTTGAAGTAGCCGTTTGTGTGGAAGAATGGGCCAAAATCCCACACAGGAGGCGTCTTGAAGCTGTAATTACCAACAAAGACGTTTGTACTAAGTATTAAATACATTTCAGTAAGCATGTTCAATACCTTTTACCTGTGTCATTCCATTTTATTACACTTAACTTAATTTCTCAACATATTTGTTTTGGTTTCTTTGCATGTGTGAAGTGCATGGGTTGTTACCGACATCTGGTGAAAATGTCATGTCAATAGCAACTTTAGAAATATATTTACTGAGAAAAATAGTGACGTGTTCGATACTCATTTTACCCGCTGTATATGTATGATTTCTTTGAATGACATTTCCACAGGTGTTTTGTTTATGTTAGAGAAATATGAAGATAAAAAGCCAAACACTCCCTCTCATAGCTCACCTGAAGAGACACGGAAAACTAGATTAGTTACAAAGCTGAACAGATTGTAGATGGTGGGTGAAGGAGCTGTAACATATTTATTAATATTTTAGAATCAGAATCTGATTTGATCCCAGAGGAGTCGTTAGTCTCTTACCCCTATTCCATCCAGGTGGTTCCAGGCCCGGTTGAAAACCAGTTCTTCGTCTTTTCACAGCAGTGTTGACGGCTCCTGATCCTGAAAACTGTTTCATCTCCAGCGCCAACAATTTACCCACACAGCTCAAAGAACCAAGTGCGGAGTGGCATATGTCAGAGGTGACAGAGGAGCAAAGTGACTAGAATGCAACCACACGTGCATTTATATTTATATATAAAAGTTGCAGAACATGAAGCAGGCACAAGTGACATATTATTATTCATCGTACTCTGATGAATGTCAGATTTTTCAGATTCTGACTCTGAAACACTTCCAAAGCTTTTGAATCAATGTGAAGAACATGAAAGATTTTTTAGTCATCTGATTTTATTCCTTCAGTATGTCGTACAGTCTTTTCAAAGCGTTACCCTCCAGAGTGTGGGGGGGGCATGTTTATATGGATGGACCATTTGAACCAACTGCCCAAATACAAAGACCTGAATGTTTCTGTATTAAAGGTGGGGTAGGTAATTTTAGAGAAACCAGCTCGAGATCGCTAGAATGTGAAAATACACAACCGGAGAAAATCTGCCACTTCCTTACAGAGCCCCTCCTCCAACACACACGAACGCGCACATGACCAATGAGGGCACGAGATAAGTTTGTGCACAGATGGAAGGCTGACAGGCAGGTAGGCCATCCAGTTATTTTAGCCGGGCTTTTTGTCAAAGCACTTAAGATATTCATTGCTATCGGGATGTTAAGAGCATTCCATGGAATATAACAAAAAGTGTATCTCGAGCCGGTTTCTCAAACTTACCTACCCCACCTTTAAGCAAAATATGTATTTCCGAACGGCCTCACTACCATTCCCAATTTAAATCATATAAAAAAGATCTTGGACCCAGGCATTCATAAAAAAGTCCAATATAGGTAGTCTGAATCCAAACTGACATTAAAGTGTACCAGTCAGATATGTTTTGTAAAGTGCAACTTCACTGCTTCCCCAGTGTATACATATCTGTTAGATGTAAAAATACATTATGTATTTTCTTCTTTGTCTTGGGTTATGGTCACACAAACGTGGATACATTCATAACAAATCCAAGTATCCTGTTCATCAATTTATCCACATTAACATTTGGTCGCAAGATAAATGTTTTAAAGTTGTGTTATTACTCCTCAAATGGTGAGCTGTTTTCTCTTGTTCTGTGTTTTTTTCCTAACTCTGAACGGCTTTAATAACCCAGTTTTAGTTTATGTGGTTTATCAAACAAGCAAACTAATAGTTCAATCTAAAAATCTTTCGAATGCGGAACACATACTTTTCATTTGTTCTGGGTTTTATAAAGCAAAGCTTTTAGAGGGGCATAGTTAAAAACGGTGGAGGAAGGGCATTAATAAACACAAGAGTTTTCATATTCATCCAAATGACTGTGGACAGTTATTGCCTGTGTTGTTGCAAGTGTCATGGGTATGTATCCTCCGTGCGCCTGGGCCTCAGCTCGGCTGCGTCTTCTGTCCCATGTGCGTGCGAATGTGTCGTTTGTAATTGGAGTTGTCGCTGAATCTGCGCCCACATTCATTGCAGCAGTATGGCTTCTCACCCGTGTGAATCCTCAAGTGTTTCTGATACCCGTCAAAGCGTGTGAGTTTCTTTCCACATATGTCACACGTGTACGACTTGTCCAATTTGTTCTCTGCCTTGCGGTGCACCTGCACGTGTTTGGCCCAGTGTCCTCGCTGCGCGAAAGCACGGCCGCAGATGGTGCAGATGTACGAGTCCACCACCTCAGACTGCGGCAAGTCCAGGTCCACACAGCCCAGCAGGCCGTTACCTGAAGCTGCATCTAAAATTCCAGGGGCCACCTCCGGCTTGGGATAGGTCTGCACCGAGGTGCCTGAATGGGTGTCGGGGTCTGAGGTCAGGTGCTCGTTGTCCTGCTTGTTTCCCACATCTCCACTCTGGAACAACAGGAAGGTGACGTTGTTCTGCTCCACAGTCTGGGGCTTCTCCTCCTGCCACAGCTCCTCCTCCTCCTCCTCCTCCTTGATGGGGGAGGGGATCATCTCATTGAGGCTGGAGCCCCACTCCTGCTGCACACTGAGAGCTGAGGCACAACAAAGAAGAGTCGGAACATGATCAAAACTCAAGTATTTGTACTAAGAAAAGCTTCAAATACTATAAAGGTGATCTGTTGTTGTTTCCTTTTTGTATTACCAGACAGTGGCAATGTTTCAACATTATTAACACAATATAAATCAAGCTGTTTTTTTGCAATAAAAAAATCAGCAGTGGTTTGAGCTCATGGAATATGCTATAGTGTTGGGACCTAATATTTACTTAAGAACTGTACTGTACATTTTGCTAGTATTTATATTTCCAGCCACTTTCATCTTCATCTTTAAAGCCAATATTGCACTATATTCCTGACAGTATTAGTAACTAGTTACTTTGCAGATTTCAGATTGTTGATACAAAATACAAATCAACTATTTAATTATCTTGTATTATTGTAATTTAAGTTACACAAAAGGGCGGCAGGATTTCAAGAAAATATGCGATAACTTGTCACTTGCCATAAAGTAACAAATACCTACGGTGGCCCTGAAGTGCAAGTCAAAACAGCATTTCACTAAACACTACAGCATTTCACTAAACACTACAGCATTTCACTAAACACTACAGCATTTCACTAAACACTACAGCATTTCACTAAACACTACAGCATTTCACTAAACACTACAGTAAACACCACAGCATTTCACTAAACACTACAGCATTTCACTAAACACTACAGCATTTCACTAAACACTACAGCATTTCACTAAACACTACAGCATTTCACTAAACACTACAGCATTTCACTAAACACTACAGCATTTCACTAAACACTACAGTAAACACCACAGCATTTCACTAAACACTACAGCATTTCACTAAACACTACAGCATTTCACTAAACACTACAGCATTTCACTAAACACTACAGCATTTCACTAAACACCACAGCATTTCACTAAACACTACAGCATTTCACTAAACACTACAGTAAACACTACAGCATTTCACTAAACACTACAGCATTTCACTAAACACCACAGCATTTCAACTTATACGGAAAGGGTATTCCTTTAGGGAGAACACTTCTTGTTTGTGATTGGACAGAGCCAGCCAGAGAAGCACTGCTGTGATTGGTGGTTGTTGCTGCCAGTCAAGAAATGACGCTTCGTTATTGGTCAGCACCCGACAGCGCAACATGTCCCAAAACATCAGCCGTTAGCCCTCAGAGCTCACAGCTCCTCATATCTGTTCAGAAACTACACAAAAGTTAAACATGTACAAACCACAGACTGTCTGTGTCATGGTGAATACAGTCGCTGCTTTATTTCAGTCTGTATGCCGTTGTTGTGAGTTTGGACGGAGCAGCTACAGGTTAGTTTATCCTGATCGATCCGATCTCCATTCAGAAAACACGCATTTTAAAAGGTTTTTCGCCTGCCGTCTGTCTGCAGACTTGTCACAGCATTAATTCATGGTTCATTTTGTTGTAGTCTATCTACCATAGTATTTACATGGATATAAGCCCCGAATATTCGCATCGCTCTAATCGCTCGAGTTTCAGGTTTCACCGCGGCTGTCAGCTGTGTTTACTCCCGTCATTCAAACAAGACGCGCTGGAGAGGGGGCGGGGCTTATATCCATGCAAATACTTTGGTAGATACCACCTACAACAAAATTAACATATTTTACCGTGTTTTAATTGTAATACACGTTTCAAAATGATGCCGAAGTATGCCCAACATACTGATACCGGTTAGTAAAAACCATGAATTAATGCTGTGACAAGTGTGCAGACAAGACGGCAGGCGAAAAACCTTTTAAAATGTGTGTTTTCTGAATGGAGATCGGATCGTTCAGGATAAACCAACCTGTAGCTGCTCGGTCCAAACTCACAACAACGGCATACAGCGTCAAAATCAACAGTGCTTTTAAATTGGATAAACAGATAAACTCTGTGGTTGAGTCCAGTTTTTATCACTTGAGGCTCCTGTCCAAAATTAAACCGGTCAAGGGCTTTGAGGTCGGCTGATCAGCTGCTGCTGGTAGTCCCTAAAACCAAGAAAAAGACCAGGGGAGACCGAGCCTTCTCAGCGGTAGCCCCCAGGCTCTGGAACAACCTGCCCCCCCCCCATGTCAAATTGTCGCCCACCCTTCAAACTTTTAAGTCCCGTCTGAAGACCCACCTCTTTTTCCTTGCTTTCGAGTCAGTCTGAGCTGTTTTATCGATTTTTATGCTTTTATTGTCTGTCCATAGCCTTTATGTGCCTTTTATCTATTCTTATGTATGCCTTTTATCTATTATTGTAATATTATATTTTATTATAATGTTATGTTTGCTGTGAAGCACTTCGGTAAACCCTCTGTTTTTAATATGTGCTATATAAATAAAGTGGATTGGATTGGATTGGATAAATAAAGCAGCGACTGTATTCACCATGACACAGACAGTCTGTGGTTTGTACATGTTTCACTTTTGTCCAGTTTCTGAACAGATATGAGGAGCTGTGAGCTCTGAGTGCTAACAGCTAATGTTTCGGGACATGTTGCACTGTTGGGTGCTGACCAATCACGAAGCGTAATTTCTTGACTGGCAGCAAAAACAACCAATCACAGCAGTGCTTCTCTGGCTGGCTCAGTCCAATCACAAACAAGAAGTGTTCTCCCTAAAGGAATACCCTTTCCGTATAAGTTGAAATGCTGTGGTGTTTCCTGAAATGCTGTTTTGACTTGCGCTTTAGGGCCACCGTAAATACCTTTATATACAGTTAATATCTTTCTGCTCTGCGTTCACTGCCAACATTTACCCCCAGGCACATCAAGTGTTAAATCAGACTTTAGTTCCACCTGGAGTAAATTCACAAGCTACCCTGCAGTATACAAAGTCATTCAAACTAGCTCTACCTTTACCAGCTTTGATAACACTTTAATGATCAATAATTATAAACATATCATATATATTTTTCAGAAATGGACCAATCTGCACAATGACTACTTTTACTTTTGATACTTGAAGTACATTTTGATGCCATTTTATTTTGTACTTTAACTTGGGTAACATTTAGAATGCAGGACTTTAACTTGGGTAACATTTAGAATGCAGTACTGCCCTGTCTGTCTCCCACACACAGAAGATTGACAATAAAGTAGACTATGATTTTTACTTCTTACAGATCTGATGTTCAGCTTTATTTGGACAATAGGGCTCACTTTACATTGCAAACATAAAGCAGTTAAACATTGGAAAAGCAGTTAGTCAATGTAGTATAGTGTTTTTCTAGTGAACACTTCATTAGCAAATTATGTTTGTGTATTTCGCATTTGTGAACAGCAGCTTCATGCAGCGGCGGCTCAGTGAGCAGTGACCGGCAGAGAGTGCCTGATATCGGCCATGAGGTTCCTCACCTGCGCTGCGGAGCTGCACAGAGACCTCCGGCTGCAGGGAGAGCTCCAGCAGCCGGCGCTGGCGCTCGATCTCCAGCTTGGAGCGGGAGATCTCCTCCTCGTACTCGGCTATGGTTCTCCCGAACACCCCGAAGATCTCCTCGGCTGCCGCCGTGAGCCGCTGGGTGATGAGCAGCCTCAGCATCTCTATTTTAGACATAATAGCGGCAAAGTTCTGATGGAATCGGAGGTTCGCTCTCCGAAGCGCTGTGGACACTTGTTTACTAGTTACTCTTCCTGGTTCCTGTCTATGAGCATGCGCAGTGATGCTTTTCATTGGTAACTAAAGAATGACACATGTGGTATCGCCCCCTGTTGGACTGGATGCCAGTGGTGGACGAAGTGAAAACAGAAGTAGTAATATATCAAAGTAAAACCTCAGTAAAAGTACAAATGTATTTTCATCAAAAAGTACTGAAAGTACCACAGGTAAGTACCACACTTACCTGTAAAGTACCAGACTCATAATGCACAAAGGTCAATTTCAGAATAATATATATTCAGGGGTGGCGCCAGGGGGTAGCTGGGAGTTGCTATAGCAACTCCAACAATTGGCCTAGCAACGGCTTAGCAACCCCATTGTTTTGTTATGAAAATGTATCTATATATATTTATACACATTCTCGCGAGATCTATCAGGGGTCATTGTAAGTTAAAGCGTGAACTGTTACTTGGCTAATGTTGTTATAGTTCTCAGTATGTGAACACAGATAGAAAATGGAAAGATTTCTCACAAGTCAGCGTAAACGGCCGCGATCTCCAACTGTGTGTGTGTGTGTGTGTGTGTGTGTGTGTGTGTGTGTGTGTGTGTGTGTGTGTGTGTGTGTGTGTGTGTGTGTGTGTGTGTGTGTGTGTGTGTGTGTGTGTGTGTGTGTGTGTGTGTGTGTGTGTGTGTGTGTGTGTGCGCTCTCTTCTGACCATATTTGGAAGTACAACTTCTGCTGGACCCTTCTCACTTCAGGCGAGCTTTTTGAGACCACCCCCGGCTGCAATCGGCTATTCTCGTCTACTTTCGAGGCAAGCCGCAGCTCATCTCAAACAAGCCTAATGTGTCTGTTAGCTAAGCGTAGTCCATTGTAAATAATAATTGTTATGTTTTTTTTTTACTAAGCTGACATTAAGTACTGTTAATATCTAAAAAGGTTTTTAATTTCACTGCTCTTTTAGCTGACATTGAATAAATGCAGGTACATTTTTAGCAGCTATTCATACTAAATCAGTTGTCCCTCCCTCTGGTGCCAGGACCAACAGATCCATCTCTAGGCTCAGCAGCCCTGTCCCCCCATAAGGCTGAACCTGAACCAGCTTGTCTCCCAACTGAAGGAGGTGAGCAGCATTGTGTTGAATTACATGCCACTTAACATATCTGAAGGGAGACTGGAATACAACATATATATATATATATATATCAAAACAAAAAGCTAACATCTAATTTCAATTACACATTTCAAACACAGTATTTCTCCACATATTTAAGTTATATTTATTTGGATTTATGCATTAATGTTGAGAATGTTCCATTCAAAAATGTTATTATTGAAAAGGCATATACACCATAAAAGATGACTATTGAGATCTATTGTCAGGAATGTTAGTCTTATATCAAATAGTGAATTCTACTGCAGCAGAATGTTGCACGTCTGCACAGTGTTATATTTTCACAGCTCAGTGTCAGTAAATATTGTGCGGTTAGTATTGGACTACAAGATAGACGCAAGCCTGTACAGGTAGAGTTATTTAAAGGGCCCATGTCATGGCCATTTCCACTGATCATAATTACATTGTTGAGGTATACTAAAATAGATTTATACTGTGCAATTTTCCAAACTCACATTGGTTTCGCATACAGCATCTCTGTCAAGCATGTGTATTCAGCAGTATTCACTTTCTCCACTAAACGACTCGTTGGAGCTCTTGCCCCCCCCTCCCTGTGAGCCTAGTGTGCTCCGATTGGTCAGCTCGGCCACTCGTTCTGATTAGTCAACCACCAGAGAGGCTGCGCCCATGTCTAACAGTGCTTTTCCCGGCTGCTCTCAGCGTAACATCAGTCTTATCATGGCGTCGGCACAGCCGTATATTTTATATACATATATATTTTTAACTGTTGTTATAGAAGAGTGTGACGGCCCCAGGGCCTTTGTCTTACGATGGGGTGGAGCTGAAGAGACTAATCAGCACGATCACGGACACCTCCGGACACTACGGCCCCAGTCTCTCTCCAAAGCGGCTGCAGGAAGACTAACTCTGCGATCCTCTCAACCACCTATCTCTGCATTTACCACAATAAATGTGCCGTGGTTTTGTAAACTCGTGTATGTCTCCTTGTCTTTGTGGCCTACGAGCCGCTCATAACAAAGAGTAAGTTATTTTTACCCGTTATAAACTACTACTGTTTGATGAGAAATCAAATCATGGTTTGCTATATATGAATTCAGGGAAGAAAGGATAGGCCTACTAAGTATTTCCATTAAACTTTATTTTTAGAAATGTACAAAATGAACATAAATATACATATATACACGGTATATCATTCATTCCTCCTCCTCGCATCTTGCCTGCGCACAGTCGGTGCGGTGCCTTTTAGCACGACGCCTCAGTAGTAGTAGAAGCTTGCCTTTTAGCACGTCATGGATTGTCCGCCAGGATCTGGCTGGACGAAATCAAATGCAAATCACAAAATATTAGAGAAACTTAGTTGTTTTAGATTCGTTAGTAGTAGTTGTGTAATGAACAGCTTGCCTGCTAATATGCTAACCTAGCTTTGTTTACCTTGGTAGCTAACACGATATGAACGTTAGCTTGGAGGAAAGGCAACTATAATGCAGTGTAATAAAACTACTATGAACAAAAGCTAGTGGTTCATATTAGGCTAGCAATAACGTGTTTATAATTGCAATCGTATACGGGTATTCTGCTACCATACAATGTAACTTGCATGAATACATTGTTTTGCGCTAGCATACAGCTAGCCTCGTTAGCTACATGCAGTATATGTACGGTCACAATGTACGGTAAATCACAGTACAGTATACTGTATGAGTATTCCGTGTGTGTGAATGCAGACATTCTCCTGCTATGAGATACATGTATGCAAGGCCATCTGCTGATATTAGAGTTGATATATGGAAACTCTAGCAACTTAGTTAGCACAGTTAGCACTGTGTCAATGGCTTAGCAGTCCAACACAGTTTACACATTTAAACAGTCTTGTTTGATAAATACACAAATAACAATGCAAACTTACAGGTTGTATACCCAGATCTTCCCCTGCTCCAAACGGTCCAAACAAGCTGTGCATATCCGGCCTCAAACTGGGCAATGTTTTGGAAGCTTTCGTCTGTGAAATGCCGGTTCTTCGAACCTCTGGAGGAGGAACACGCCGCTGCTGGTGTGGCCATAGCTCTTCGGGATTGGTCCATTTCGTTCCGGGTGACATCAGGCGCTACCCGGAACTAAATGGAAGACTCAAATGGGCAGTGACGTATCTCCAACGAGGCGTTTTGGGGAGGTATTTTCTGTGTTAGAGTTTTACTCGCTACAGCGTGTACTTTGAGGGTTTTGACTCTGCACACCGTTTACATGCATAAAAACCTTCATAACACACAAGGGGACGGGTAATAACCGGAAAAGCATGACATGGGAGCTTTAAAGCATAAATGAGTCGGTTGGGTTCTGGAGGTGTGGTTACAGCAATTGTGCTTGGTTGGCGTGGCCTGTGCCTGGTGGTGGGGCCCAATGTGATATCTTTTCCTGGGGCCCAAAATCCCTGGCGTTTATGGCCAGAGGGCAGGACCTATAAACACATTTACTACCCAATAGCATTGTGAGGCTGAACAAAAGGACCTTTTGACTATGTAAATGTGTCTATTAAAAAAAAAAATCATTTACTGACTTTTTTAGGATAGCTTACAGTAATGTTGTAAAATTACAACCGGGGGCCTTAACCAATCATTTCATTAAAAAACTCTTATTTAAATTATGTGTGTGTGTCTCTGTATTCCTGATGATACACTGAGAGAATGAGCTCATAGTGCTCCTGATCACCATCAGCTAAACAGTCTGTATATTGCATTACATTTGTATAATGTAAGCTTCGTTGTTACTTTGCCTGCGGGAAGACGAAAAAAATAGTTAGATATACTGGATATTATTTGATCTATTCCACCACTTAATCCCAAATAATGTAGAGGTGTGTTGTAGGTGCCTTAAATAACCCCTTATTTTCTAGTGAGATGTATTTTTATGTTCATATAATAGTGATTTCAATGCCACCCCAAAATGATCACTGGTTCCATCCTGGCCACCCCACTGAAAATGTCCTGGCTCCACCACTGGCTGGTAGACCCCCACACAATACAAACTCTTGCAATCTTGAGCAATAAACCTGCAATGTGCAATATAAACACTTGTTCACAATTGTATGGTGCTTTTTTTTAAGGTTGCAATATAATATTGAATAATATGTTATATGTTTCACTTAGTTTTAGTTAAATTGCTGCCACTCATTTTTAATCCATGGTTATGTAGTTATTTTTCTTTATTTGTATTTTGTTACTAATGTGTGCTTTTCTTTTTTATTATTGCATGCCTTTTTTACCTGCTATGCCACTTTTGCTGTAACACTAAATATCCGCGCTTTGGGACTAATAAAGGAATTCTGATTCTGATACACCACTGATAAAAACATTTAATCTAACAAGTATTGTTATTTTTTAAATATGCATAACATTGACAACTTTCCCAGGAATATTCCTTTAACCTGTTAAGCACCAAGCCTGTTTTTCATGTTTCAGGCTCGAAAATGACATGCCCAAAACAAATGACTACAACTTAACTTCTAAAAGGGTTATATGAATAATTTATTTTATCAAAGCAAGGTTACATCTGTGAGTTGGATGTAGAAGTGTCAGAATCAATATAGATGTTTTTTATTTTAAAGAAAATTCAGATTTTACATAGTAAAAAACTGTAAATGATAGTGTCCGTCCAAAAATTCTTTTTTACTTATAGTGAAAACTACCCTTGGATGATGGGTTAGTAGACTAAAAGCTTTAGGAATCCAAAGTACAACATATAATAAGTACCCTGTATCAAGATTGATGCAAAACAAGTGACATTTGACCTTTTTAGAGAGGTTTAGCCAAAACCACTCCACCTCTGAGGTGATTTTGGTGAAAATGTTTTTGTTTCCATATCTCTGGCCCCCCTTGGTCGATTTGGATGGTTG